GCAGAAATGTGTCAAAGGAAAATACTGACAACAGCTGGGATATAAAGAACACAAACGTCGGGAGAATTTGGTGAAAATATCTCAGTACCAGCACAATTCTGCATATTGTGTGATTGCAAAAGCCACGTGTAATAACGTCACATGTAATTCCACATGTTGCGAAGCTTGAGCCAGTCCATGCTTGTGACACTTCATAGCCGTTGATGTTTCTGTACTAGGGGAGAAAAAGGGCCACAGTTGATAAGCCAGTCAACTCACTAGGGCAAACTGAGAGCCACTTTTGAAAATATGGCCAAAGTATTTTCCCAAGGTTACAGCAGCCAAATGCCACACAAAGCTATAGTACTTCTTTAGCCACTAGTATTTCCTGCTGTAGATGAAAAAAAATAGGTGAAAATGCTAACATTATGCATTGATTTATGTTGTGTTAAGCACAGCTAACCTGAGTAATATGTAAACAGTTTTGTTCATTCTGGCTACAGTTACCTTTCTTCTTGATAGCGGTAATGATTCACCACATTAATTATTAGATCACCTTTGCAAAAATCTGCTGGTTTTGAAGCTGTTATCATTACAATGTAATGCTATAGTGTACTGTGATGCTAAGATTAATAAACCATCAATCTGGTGTTGCTGCTCACATACAACCTTCCACACTTTCTCTCCCTTTCACACAATCACAGAATTGTTGAGGTTGGCTAGGGCCTCTAGAGACTGGCTAGTCCAGCCCTTTACTCACCTGGAAGGGTGAGCTAAAGCAGGTTAATCAGGGCTGTGTCCACTCAGGTTTTGACTGTCTCCAAGAATGGAGACTCCACAATCTCTCTGGGCAACCCCTGCCAGAGCAAAGATTTTTTCTTATGTTTAGATGGAATTTCTCATATTTCAGTTTGTGCCCATTGTTTCTCCTCCTGTCACTAGCCACCTCCGAGAAGAGCCTGGCTCCATCTTCTTTACTCCTTCCCATCAGGTGTTTTATGGACACTGATAAGATTTCCCTGAGCCTTCTCCAGGACAATCAGTGCTAGCTCTCAGCTTTTCCTCATATGACAGATGCTGCAGTTCTTTGACCACCTTCATGGCCTTTCATTGGACTCACTCCAATATGTCCATCTCTCTCTTGTACTGGGGAGCCCGGAATCGGATGCAAAACTCCAGATGTGGCTCACCATGGCTTATCCCCTTCCTTGACCTGCTGGTAATAATCTTCCTAATACAGCCCAGGATACTGTGGACATCCCTGCTGCAAGAGCACATAGGTGACTCGTGTTCAACTTGGTGTCCACCGGGATCAGAAGGTCCTTTAGTGCCAAGCTGCTTTCCACCTGGGTGGCTCCCAGCATGTACTGGTTCATGGGGTTGTTCCTCCTCAGGTGCAGGACTTTGCACTTCCCCTTGTGAACTGCATGAAGTTCCCATCAGCCCATTTCTCCATTCTGTTGAGGTCCCTCTGGATGGCAACATGACCCTCTGGCATATCAGCCGCTTCTCACAGTTTTGTATCATCAGAAAACTTGCTGAGGGTGTGTTCTCTTGCCATTTAAGTCGTTAATGAAGAAGTTAAACAGTGTTGGCCCCAGGATCAATCACTGGGTACACCACTAGTGGCTGGCTTCTGAACTTTGTGTTGCCAATCTCAAGACCTTCAGCCTGACAGTTCAGCCAGTTTTCACTCCATCTCGCTGTTCATTTATCTAGGCCATACCTCATCAGATTACCTGTGGGGATATTACAGGAGATAGTTCCAAAGCCTTCACAAATAAACAATGTTAACTGCTCTTCCCCCATCTACCAAGCCTGTTACTTTGTTGTAGGAGGCCATCAAGTTGGTCAGGCATGACTGCCACTTCATACATTCATGGTGACTACTCCCAGTCACCTTTGTGACCTTAATGTTTGGAAATGGTTTCCAGAATTATTCAGTCCACCATCTTTCTAGGAACTGAGATGAAGCTGGCCGGCCTGTAGTTTGCTGGATCCCCCTTCTTGCCCTTCTTGAAGTTAGCAGTGACATCCATTTTTTTTTTTTTTCCCAGTCCTTGAGAACCTCCCAGACTGGCTTGACCTTTCAAAGATTATTGCAATGTTATCTGCCAGCTCCCTCGGCACTTGCGTGCATCTCATCAAGACCCATGGACATGCAGAAGTCCTTCTCACTGTCCTTCATATCCTTTGTTTTGACTTTCCTAACCCTTTCCTAACATTGCACACTAGGACAGTGACTCTATGTTGCTCCTGGATCACCCGACTCTACTTCCATGTCCTGAATGCTGCTTTTTCACATTTGTGTTGTTGCTCAGGAGCTCCTTGTTCATCCACACAGGCCTCTTGCCACCTCTGCTTGATTTCCTGCTTGTTGGCATGGACCGTTCTTGAGACCAGAGGAGGTGATCCCTGGAAGTCAACCAGCTCTCCAGGATTATTCTTCTCTCCAGGATCATCTCCCACAGGATTCTTCCAGATACCTGAAGAGGCTAAAGTCTGCTCTCCTGAAGACCAGGGAAACGTGATCCTGCAATCTGCCTTGTTCCCTTCTATCAGCATCTTGAACTTCACCATCTCACAGTCACTGCAGCCAGGGATTTCCTGAGCCTTCACTACCCTGACCACTTCTTCCTTGCTTGTAAGTATCGGGTCCAGTAGAATGTCTCCCTTTTGGACTCCTTGATTATCTGTGTCAGGAAGTTATCATCAATGCACTCCACAAAACTCCTGAACTGCTTGTACCCTGCTGTGTTGTCCCTACAGCAGACATTGCGAAGGTTGAAGTCTTCCTTGAGGACTAGGGTCAGTGAAGATGAGTCTTCTTCCAGTTGTCTGAAGGTCTTATCTACTTCTCTGCCTGATCAGGAGGTGTTTAGCAGATACCTGCTAGACCGTAGCAGATATTGGTTTGCCAACTAATCTTGACACTTTACATCTCAGCTGGCTCATCATCCACCCCCAGACAGACCTCTGCATTTCTGCTGCTTTCTCACACAAAGGGCAAGTCCCCTTTCTCACCTTCCCAGCATGTCCTTCCTACAGAGCCTGCATCCCTCTGTAGACTAAGTAAAAACACGTTTGGTATAATGCCTAAGCTATAGTGATTAATTTAGGATCGAATGTACTGCACTGATCTTCTAAGGAGGGCCACTGAACATTGGCTCTATTGTGTAAGCCTGATACTTTGTATAAATGATGGAGGCTTTGTTAATGATTATACCCTTCAAGAGGAGCTAAAAGACTGAAAAGAGGGGAACATCCTGCCCCCCAAAGCACCAAAGGCTGGATGATTGCCTGAGAAGCATGAAGTCTGCCAAAACTTCTGGTAACTGATGGAAAGGTAAAGATGGCAGGGGAAGACCATGACCACTGACTCAATTTAAGACCAAGAAGATGTCCCACTCACACTTTGAGTTTGCACAGAATAATTAAAAGACACTCTAAATCAAGATAAGGTGTGTTGTTAAGCAGTGAGGGGCAAAGCAATAAGAAACTAACCAATGGTCACTACAGTAAATGTGTATTCGTGTAGTTTGAAGTTTATAAATACATTGAAGTTCTTTTGTGTGGTGTGCTAGCTTTGTGGAACTACCACCCAGCACCTTTGTGCAAACATGGAATAAATAAATATCTCAGGTCTGTATGTAAGATTGGCTTATTGCACACCGGGTACCAAACCCTGTTTGAGAGACACCACCTCCACTGCAGCACTCCAGCCATGTGAGCTGCCCCGCCAAGTCTCTGGGATCCCAGTGACACCATGGCCCTGCAACTGCATGCAGATCTCTCACTCACCATGCTGATTGCCCAGGCTGTGTGTGTTAGTGCAGAGGCGCTTCAGAGAGGCACCCAAGCCTGATGATTCCCGGGAAAAGTGTTAGAGCTTACCCTGCCGTGCTGTTCCCTCGGCACTTCCACGTTGTGCTTGAGGTAGACCCTGTCCAGCTCCATTGTGCTGAAAACAACGTACATTGTTTTGCCTCCTCTTTGCCAACCCATTCCATCACTTCCTCATTCGATTGTGAGTTGTCGCCTCCCTTCCCTGGTCCTAGTGTAAAGCTGTCCTCAGTAGGTTGGCCTGCTGTGTGGCAGAGTTACTTGCACTACTGAAAAATTTACAGCTGTGAATTGATTGACATTTTAGAGTCAATAGTTTCTGCACAAACCATTATAGAGACCACTGAAATTTATTTTGGATACTCTCCATGGCAACAACAGATACAGGTGTGCATCTCAGTTGGTTCAAATACATTGTTCTCACTGTTGCTCTTGAACTGTCCCTCTTTCCTTGGTCATTAGCTATGTACTTAGTTTATTTCTATGAGGGAACAAGCAGGATCCAAAACCTATTCAAAATGAGGCAGGTATCTGGTAAGACAGAACATAAATAACTTCACTTACAGAAAAAAAAGATGTCCTATTCCTATGGGTGTTCAAACTGCTGTCACCACTGGGTCATTCCCAGTAAAAGCCATTCTTTAGTAGCAGCGTAAAGTTTCATGTCAGCCCTCTCTGCTCCTGGAATTAGAGCCCCACACGCACAGGCCTGGCAGCACTATCTAAAGGAGGGTTGCACTGCTTGGCAGTGGCTGTGGGCTCCATCATCACCACCCAGTCCTGCTTGTTTCAGGTGCCTGAGCTGCGGAAAGATGATTCTTGTGCGTAAAATGCATCAAAACACGATGGATCAGGCCTGAGCTAGAAATACAGGCTCGAGGGTGGTAATAAAACATAGCAGTGCATGCTTTGCTGCTGCGGCGCGGCAGAGGCGGAGGAAGTAGGGGGACAAGCTCCAACAGATATGCGAAAAGAAGTTAGGGGGTTTGGGCTTGGGTGGGGTTTTTTCCACTTTTTCAGCCCAAGACGCACCACGCCTTGTCCGATTCCGGCCTTTCTCCCGCCGGCTGAAGGCGACGGGCCTCCAGCGCCTCAAGCCAGCCGCGCTGTGCCGCGGAGGGG